GGGGGCAGAATGTGTGACTGTTATTCAGTAAGCTTTCTACTTCAGAATAGTTTGAGATTTGTAGGAAAGTGAAGATGGTGGAGGTTCCAAATACACCCCACTCCGTTTCCTGTTCGGGTTCAATCTTACCTAAGTACGAATTTATCACCGCGCAGGTGCCAACATCGGTACGTTATTCATTACCAAAATCCACACTGTTCATGTCTTTCTTTAGCCTTTCCCTGATACCTCTTTTCTATTCTAGGATCCCACCGTGGTTACCGCATTTGTAGTTAGTCTCTAGGCTTTAAATTGAAATTGTGAGATGGATCAAACTATGCAGTTAACGTATCATTTGCATTGCAACCAACCACGCTTACATTTTTTTTGAATAAAATGTTTTCCTCTCTATAAATATCAAAAAAATCTAATAAGGAGCTAATAAATCACCATGACCTGATTGTTGCTACCGAAGGTTTGAGTTCTCCGCTGGCTCTGCATCGTCTTTGTGTGTGTGTGTGTGTGTGTATGTGTGTGTGTTTACAGAGACAATCACCGACATCCAGTGGAGAGAGCGAGAGTGTTGTCAGTTCACGCTCTTGGCGGATGCGTGTGGCATTAGAAGCAAAGCTGTTGGCAGGGAGGGTACAGCTCAGTGGTAGAGTGCGTGCCTAACATGCATGAGGTCCTGGGTTCAATTCCCAGTACTTCCATTAAATAAACAAACAAACAAAGAAATAAACCTAATTACTCCCCCACAAAAAAATTTTCAAAGAAAAAAGATAAAATTTATACAGAAAAGAAAGAACTAGAAAAGCCACAACAGTTTTGAAAAAAAAAAAAAAGCAAAGCTGTCAGTACTTTAACCCAAATGAAGGATGTGTGATGTGCTCTGAGCTGTATTGTTGCTTTTGGGAAGAAGATAGTTAAGGCCTGAGGAGTGAGGACAGCCAGGTCTTCCCGGAACCTCTCCTCCCTTCAGGTCCTCCCCATCTCCAGGCAGCCCGCGAGGGTGCGGGTACCAGCCCCACCCAGGTGGGCGCTGGTGTGAAGATGCTCTCAGGGCAGCCACGTGGGATACGTTAGGGGCTCACACCGCCTCGGAGCAGCCTGAGTGAACTGGCCTGGCGGTGAGCGCCGAGGTGGGGCGCGGGTGGGCGGGGCGTGTGGATTAAAGGCCGTTCGCCCAGCCCTGGCGACCTGCGGAAGAACGTGCTAGTCGGGGAGATGGCAGAGTTCCTGACGCTGCATTCATTTTGGTGGCCCCTAAACTCACAGCGGTGGAATCTTCCTTGGTCTTTGCCACGAGCCATGTCTTTCTGCAGCAGGAATGCGGACGTGAGCTGGTCTCTCCCCAGGTGAGCCTTTCAGCTGCTAAACCATCGCAGTTTGGGATCAGTAATCCTGGTCGCTCTAGCTTCTCAGGAGCTCGCCGTGTCTTGCATCCTTTAGTCATCGCCGCGTCTCCCTTGTGCGCACCACCCCCTCCCCCGCATCCTGTCTTCTTGGGCAGCCGGAGCCCCCTGCCCCAGGGCTGGGCAGTGGTCTGACGTGCTGAGTTAGCATCTAGTGACCTTTGCTCATCACATAATGCAGTGTGCTTCTCCCCGGCTTTCTCCCTGTTTTCTTTTCGGGTGTGAAATTTTAAAAAATCTAACAAAATTGATGTTTGATCCAAAGGTCACATATTATATGATTCCATTTATATAAAAAGTGTCCCAAACAGGTGAATCCATAGAGACAGCAAGCAGGTGAGTGGTCACAGGGTCTGAGGGAGGTGGGACTGGGGAGACTTCCGACAGGAACAGGGTGTGTTTTGGGGGAGATGAAATACTGCGGATTTAGAACCTTGTGACTATACTAAAACCCACAGCACTTTAAAGTGCTCAATTGTATGGCATCTGAATTATGTCAATCAAAAATCTGATGCTTATTCATTGTAGAGATGTTGAAAAACAAGAGAGGGCATGTGAACCACCCATGTAATTGCAGATAACTAGGAGGGCCATTCTGACGTGCGGGTGGCAGTTTCTGTTGGTTCTGTTGTGTGTTTGTTTCACTTCTTCTTCTGGATTGTCTGTGGCCCTTTTAGGGCCAGGAGAAATCTTGCTGAAATCTCTTGTGTTCTCACTTTGTCCCCAGGTTTGCATTTTCCCCCGTTACATTTTGCTTATAAATTTCAGGAGGTGCAGCGTCTTGAATGACAGCCGTGAGCTCCAGAAAGTAAATGGTGCCTTATTTCTCAGGAAGCAACAACAGGACCTAGTTTTTGCTGAAACGTGTGGTGTCAGTCCTAGGGACCTTGGCGATTGGATGTCGTGAATGTATTCGCGCGTTTCAACTTGCAGGGGGAAGGGGCTGGCTCTCAGCCTCTGCACACGTTCACATCCAAGTCCCAAAGCTTGGGGTCTCTGCTCTGAGCCTGCTGGACTGCTGGAAACGTACCCATTTTTCCAAATATGTAGACGACACTCTCTTGCTCAAATGGCCAAACTAAATTTCCTAGAGTAACGCTTAAGGCTGAAGGAAGGGGACAGTCACACCCCAGCCTCTGTACTGATGAGCACAGCGTATTCAGGGAGCATTTCTAGAGTCAGCAGTGACTTTGCACATCTGTATGGGGGTGACGTCGGCTTATGAGTCGACAGAAGCATTTAGTTCGCCTCCGACTCTTCTCCTGCGAAGAGCATGCTTGTCCACACCCTGACGCGGATGCACAGGAAAATACTTAACGCTCCCAAACTGCAGTCTGCCTCGGAGGACTCAGGAATCTTTTCCACAGTGGAATCGGGCAAATAGTGCTTATTTTTCTTCGGGGTGTGTATTTATTTGACTGTTTCACACCATTTGTCAATTTCTAAGCGGTTAATAAGTTTTATGCCTCTTCAGATGTGTGTATACAGTACAAGTGTGTTTGATTTCCTGTGGTCTCCCTACATTTAAACAGTGCTGAGTGACGGTGTGTGTGACATGCCAATTGAAAACGTCAAACCCAGGCTGAACGGTGTTGATGGCCCAGCCCGCCTGGCTTGTGCCATCTCTGTCCCGTAACAGCCCTGGGGTCCTGTCTCGGTTTCAGTGCCAGGCCCTCTGGTCCTCTCTGGAGATGCAGCACCGGATGTCCTCCAGCTGTTCCCAGGCCACTGAGGAACGTTAAAATAAAGGCAGTATCAGTTAAGGGCTCGGTGGGATTGCCGCAGGAGAGGTGTGCAGTTCGGGGGTGCTGGCTGCAGGGAGTAAAGATGCTGCTTCTGAGGGGTTCACCAGGGATGTTTTATGAGAGATGGCACGGGAGCCTGGCTTCTGACAGGTGGGTAAGTTTGGACCAGAAGTGACAGAAAGGAGGACTCTCCCATAACTGGCTGTGATGAACCCATTCAGAAGCAGTCGCCCCTGTCTGCTGCTTGGGAACTGGGGCTGAATTCTGAGGGCGCTGTAAGCTGACATGTCACCTCCCGTGTCCTGTCGTTTAGGAACCAGCGGTGTAGAGAGGATCAGCTTAGACACACGGGTGCCCTTAAGCGTCAGCCGGCCAGTGGTGTGTGTAGCTAAATACTCTGAAGAATCTTGTGTGTCTGGTTCTGTCTGAAAACCACTTGGATTCCACTTCTAGACCTCAGCTTTTTTGAGCAAGGCTTTGTCTTAAGAGGGTTTTTGAGGTGCCTGCGTGATTTGTTCGTGCTTGTGCCTCATTTAAGAGAGACAAGTGGCGTGACCCAGTATTGAATTATAAACTACCCTTAATAAATTAAAAAAAAACTAGTAAATACACCGAACATAAAATTCGTCATCTTACCCATTTTTCAAGTGCACGAGTCAGCTGCGTCTAATACATTCACATTGTTGCACACCCGGAACTTCCTCCTCTTCCCAAAATGAAGCTCTGGCCTTATTAAACACGAATTCCTCATTCTCCCCCACCCCCTGGCCCACTGTCACCCACCATCCTACTGTCCGTCTGTGAAGCTGACTGCTCTAGGGAGCTCCTGAATCGTGTGGTATTTGTTTTTCTGTGTCTGATGTTCCCCTCAGCTTAACGTCTTCAGGTTTCGCCCACGCTGCAGCGTGGGTCGGGATTTCCTTCTCTCTAAAATGTGTCCCTGCACTGTCAGTGTGTCCCACTCTTGGATAGACTTGGATGCAGTAAACCGACTTGGATGATGTAAATCCAGATCCATCCAGATGTGCCGTCAGTCACCCCTGACTCTCCATTTCTACCCCGCCCCCTACCTCCAACCACGGGGACCCAGTCAGGGCCAAGGATACCGGGTGAAAGTTTTGAAAGAACACCGCGCTGGCGTACGGAGAAGGGTCTGTGAGGCCCCACACGGCTTCTAGGTCATCTGTCACCCGCCCATCCTTCCCCCGGCACTCCCCCAGGACTTTGTGCCGTGTTTCCGCCTGAGCCGACCAGAGCTGCTCTTGTCCTCGGTGTTTATGACTCTGGGGGTGGCTGCTCCGCTGACACAGCCTGTGATGGGCGGGGTTGCGATTTCCATAAAGATGGGAAACTTCTGTCCTTATAGTTACGGGTTAATTCATCCTTGGCTGCTGGCCGCCCGTGGGCCTGGGGGCCTGGAAGGGAATGAGCTGTTGAAGAAACGCTCCAATTCTGAATTTACTCAGAATTACCAGGGGCTTCTATCTGGAGGGCACTCTGCTGACTCTGGCCCCAGGAGGGTTTCATTTTGCCAGTCCGTGTCACCATCTCTCCCTCCCTCCCTGGATGAAGCCGAGGGCTTCAGCCACATGTTCGCTTCCTCCAGACATGCTGCAAAGCACCTGCGTCCTGGGATGAGCCAAGATTTGCCATTCTTGGGATAAGTACCAAAGTCACTTTTGCTGTTCTCTCAGATCTGGTGCTACAGAAGCCCTTTGGAAGTGACCGAGATGCCCAGTCCCTCTAGGTTTTCTATACACAGTGGGCAGCTTTGCTCAAACACTATGGTCTTTGCACGAGAAGCAAAGCCAAGGCCAGGAAGGGAAATCTCACTGATGTGTGTCTTTGTTTTTCCCCCCAGGGCAAGTGGAGGTTCCGGACCCCAGTGACCCCCTGGGACAGCTGGACGGACATGACGGCCCTATTCCCACTCTGAAAGGTAAATGGTGACCGTGCTCTTAGAATGCACGTGTTGGAAGGTGCTTTCTGAGAGTACCAAGTCGAGGGGCTCCCCGTGCCGATCCTCTCAAGGCTCGGCCTGCCGAAACTGATGGCTGGGGTGCCCCGTGGTCCAGCGCCGCCCCGTTGATGGAGGGCAGGGGTAGACAGATGGCCACCGGAGGGAGGGAAGGGCTCTGGGGGAGCTCCGTGCGCCTGAGCGGAGCCTTGGGAGCTGGACTCCTGGCTTGGCCACGAAGTCTCCTGCTGACAAGCGGCCGTCCTCTGGGTTATTCTCGAGATGTAGTTGTCCTGACTGGGTGGACATCTCAGGCGGGCGGGTGGTTCTTCTCCACCGGGTCACCAAAGAGCAGGTCCTTTGTCTTGTCCCTCCAGCGTTTCCCAGAGGTCATTGTCAGGTCCCTGCTCACCTGGCGTACTTCTGAGGCGTCTTAGATTTGTAGAGTCAACAGATCCCATTTCCTGTGATGCCGCCCCGTTATTTGAGGAAATGGGGCCTTTTTTGGCTTCATCTTCTGTCTCCATCATGCAGTGCAATCTCACCGTGTCCTCTATTGGACAGAGAGCGAGCAAGCTCTGGTCTCTTCCAGTCTTAAAAAGACACAGATCCCTTCCTGGGGGCCCCACCCTCATGACCTCATCTTACCCTGTTACTTCCCAAAGGCTCCAGCTCCTGACCTCACCCGGGGTCAGGGCTTCCACACGTGAATGGGATGGGGACACAGCACAATTCAGTGTATAACAATTATCTATCAGAACAGGCACTGTATTTTGATTTTGAAGCATGATTCAGAGCCCCGAAATCCACAATAGTTTCTCAGCCCCCTGCATGTTGAGAGTCCGTGTGCCCTCCCAGGAGTGTGTTCACTGCCGCGTGTCCAAGGCCAGGTCTTCTGGGCACTGAGCAGTGATGACTCAAATCCACCAGTCACGGCCAAGATGGCCAGATGTCCCCCTGTGTCCCGAAAGGGCCTCTTGGGGTCCCACAGGGAGCTGAAGCTCCCCTCTGGCCTCAGAATAGTCGCTTACATCAAGGGCGGGTGGATCTACCTGCTGTTGGTTGTGCCCGGTGAGTGGAGGCTCCCTGAGAAGGATCTTTCCCTGCAGTATGCTATGCAGTAAATGCACAAGTCAGCTTGCTCCCATGGACCCCCCTGTAGCCTGGCTGCCTGGACGGGAGAGCCTGTCCCCGTGGCAGCCAAGGCCTGGGCTCCGGAAGCTTGTGTACGACTCTGGGCCCTCTGGAAACGTTTCTTAGGAAGAAAGATGGTTTGTGATGGTTGGGTTCTGAAGTCATTTCTCACCAGCATGACTGCGCCCGCAGTCCAGGCGGCCACACATCTTTCCTGACTGCCCCTCCGGACCCGGCACACACACTGGGGATCCAACAAGTGTGTGGTCTCTGCCTCTTAGCATTTACTTGGCTGGGGATTCAGCTTCGTAAGGGAAAACTCTCAAGTTATGAAACCGGGCGTTCTGGTGAGTAGCCTGAAGGGAGGGACGAGGTCGCGGGCAGCTGGGAGGAAAGGAAGAAGTGTCTTGGTTTGGGGACAGATTGTGACCCTGGGATCTGGGGAGCTGATACTCGCTAAGAGAGGGTGGGAGGAGGTTGTGTCTGGGGTCAAAGTGGAGGCCTGGGCAAAGACCCCGAGGCCAAGAGGACTCGCTGCCGTGGGGTGGCTGAGAGAAGGTGGCAGCTCCTGGGCTGGGGTGGCCGAGGCTAGAGGTTATTGGGTCCAGTCCCGTGGCCATCAGCCACGTGTAGGTCTTTAAATTTACGTTGATTAAAATTAAGTGAAGTTAAGAATCCAGGTCCTTGGCTTACTAGCTATATCTCAAGTGCTCAGTGGCCACCTGTGACGAGAAGCCACCACTATGGGCAGCAGAGATATGGAACATTCATCGTCCCAGGAAGTTTTGTCAGGCAGCCCTAGGGGAGCGTTCACGGCTCTCTAGGTGGCAGGAGAAAGCTCTGTTTCATCGTAAGAGCCTCCCTCTGCCCTGGAAAGACCTGGGACGTGGTGTCACCTGATTTACTCCCTGTAAGATCTTTCATTTCTGGAGGATGATGGAGAGGGGGTGGGAGGGCCATTAGGAGGGAGGGGTGGCCAGGGGAGCAGAAGTGGACACACCACTGCGACAGCCTCAAATCCAGCCTGCAATCATTCTGCAGATGTTCATATTCCCTTGGGAAAACGTGCTGTGGTGCTGTGTTTAGATGTGCAGACCTCTCCCCTGCAACCCCGGCGGAGCAGGGGCCTCCCTGTGGCCCGAGCTGCGGGTCTGCAGAGGCCGAGTGGGATGAGACCACTGCACCGGCTACCACTGTTCTCTAAGCCAGATGTTCACAGCTGCCCTCAGGGAAGCAGAAGCAGCTGCAGGACTCACGGTTCACTTGGATGGAAGATGCGTTTGCTGATCAAGTGGCTGAAATGACCGTAGACTGAATGGTCATAGAAATTTTATTCCCATCTAGCTGCAAGCTCCAAACATCAGCTTCAGTGCCTTAGGCGGGATTCTCTGACCTCCTGTTTGGGCTTGGAGTAACTTCTCAAGCCCAGAACAGGATGCTTTCTTATGTCCTCTGCTTAGTTGGAATTCGATTGTCTTGTGACTGTTAACCTACTTGTGATTGTGTTAAAACCCTCTAAAAAACTAAAAATAGAGTTACCAAATGATCCGAGGCATACATCCAGAGAAAACTCTTAATTTGAAAAGGCGTATGCCCCCCAGTGTTCATAGCACCACTATTTACAATAGCCAGGACATGGAAGCAACCTAAATGTCCATCGAGAGATGACTGGATAAAGAAGATGTGATATATATACAGTGGAATAGTACTCAGCCATGAAAAAGAATGAAACAATGACATTTGCCGCAATGTGGTTGGACCTAGAGATGATCATACTAAGTGAAATAAATCAGACAGAGAAAGACAAATATTATATGATATCACTTATATGTGGAATCTAAAAAAAGTTACTTACAAAACAGAAGGAGACTCACAGAGATAGAAAACAAACTTCTGGTTACCAAAGGGGAAATGGAGGGAGGGATAAATTAGGAGTTTGGGATTAGCAGATACAAACTTGTATATACAGAATAGATAAGCCAGGTCCTACTGTACAGCACAGGGAACTCTACTCAAGCTTGTAATAACCTATAATGAAAAAGAATATATATACATACACACAAACAGATTGAATCACTATGCTGTATACCAGAAACTAACACAACATTGTAAATCAACTAGACTTCAATTACAAATAAAACAAAACAAAACAACCACCACAAAACCCACGTGCATGTCTGTGTGTGTGCAGTGCAGTGCAGGGGGGAGTTTCAGTTAGAGTTTGGAAGCTTGCCTTGGACCTCTCCAGGGCACAGAAATACCAAATGCAGAAGTTAACCAGTCAAGCAGGTGTGCATGTGTGTGAGCACCCATGCGTGTACGTGAGCGTGTGTGCACGCGTGCACAGAGGCGGTACTAAAGGAAGCGGAGATCCACAGCAAGCGGAGTCCATTTTCCGTGGTGTCAGGGTGGGGTCGCGTAGTGTGGTGAGTGCAGGGGTCTGTGCTCGGCTTGGCGGGAAGACAGACCCGGACTGGGTGGCACGTCACCATCCTTTTGGGGTCGGGGGGTGCTCTGGGCCCCGTCTCACCCCCAGCCACCCGAGGGTGGAAGGGCTTGGCTCCTGGCACTTGCCTAGGAGGTAGTGGCTGGACGCTGAGGTCTTTTGTCATCATCACAATTACGCTTGTCAGCGCGTCCATCAGTTTCCAGGCACCGAGACCTCAGCAGCCCCTCGGGACAGGATGCTCTGAACAGCCCTCAGGGAGCCTCAGGGGCCTCAGTTACTCCCTAGCCACTCAGTTCTCTGGCCCTGCAGTACGATTTTACTTCCTTGTGGGTTATGGCTTCTGCACAAAAGAGGACTCACTCCACTGTCCCTCTGTGCTCCCCTGGCCTCCTCCTCATCCTCTCCGTGACGGAAGGAACTGGCCTGGCAGTGCCAGACTTACTTTTCCAAGCGCTTTTTTGTTTGAAGAGCTTCAGGGGGTGTTACTGCTTGCCCACATTTGGCTTAAATCATATATAAATAGTAATAATAGCTGAATGGACTGTAGGAGCTGTTTCTTTAATCCAGTTCCCATTTATGATGCCCACGCGTCTGTAAAATCGCAGGCAGGCGAATATGGCCAGCGGGCCAGTCTGTTACTGAGCCAAACGGGATCTGAGAAATTAGTTTCAAGCGTAGAAAGCATTTGGGTTCCGATGCCCTGGGCCAGGACGGAGCACTTAACATAGAATTGGTGGTTGGTATTGCTAAAGGGAGAGAGATCCCAGAGCAAAAAAAAAGCCTGCATAGAAGAAGAAAATGAATTCAAAGGACACTGATTTACAGCTGAAAAGCCGGCCTGAAGTTTCCTACGCCAAAGCACTGTCATCCTGAGGACTGAAGTCCGCCTTGGGACTCTGGCTATAGTGATACTGAACAGAATTTTTGTGTTCTTTGCTACATTAGACACACTATTTTATTACACTTACAAAAGGGTGCATTTGGCCTAGAAACCATTTGCTCTTTTGTTCCAAGGCTGTATTTTAAATGCACATGTAACATCTCAGATTTTGTAAAATCACTACTTTGGAATGTCTGTGGGAAGAGGGCCATTGCTGGGAGCCCGGGCGGGCGGTGCTGATCTCGCTCCTCCTGTGGCCGCCAAAAATAGACCCGCTTGCTTGTGTCTCCTGTCTTAGGAGAAGGGCCACTCCCCTCCCCCCCCAAAACCAGAAGGGGAATTCCTGAGTCTCCCCTCTTGAGGCTGTGTTGCAATTAGAGGTGATCTCAAGGGCACTCTAAATGACAGGGCAGGAATCGATGCCTTCCTCACCAGGCTGTCCCCTGCTATTTGTGACATGTGGTGGCCGAACTAAAATTTCTTGGGACAGAGGAAACAAAGCCATCAGCAGAGGTCACC